CAGGGCCCCTTTCCTGTGTTTGCCACCACCCACCCAGAGGTCCTCTTGCGATAACTGTTAGTTTAAGAGCAGGGATTTTTGTCTATCAGAAATAGTCTTTAACCTATAGTGCTCTGAATGTGTAACTTAATAGAGAAACCTCTGAACATACTATTTAAGGTTGACACAAAAGTAGTTTTCCAGGTTATAGATACCACAGCAATTGATTCAAAGGTTAAAAGGTAGCAGTTAGGGGACTGATCGTACCAGAAGTGAATGGGCTTGAAGGAAAGTCTTAGATAGTTCAAAATACTGAGAACAGGCTATTTTTTACCTAGCTTTAATGATCTTGATTCTGCTGATTTTAGTGGAGCCATATAACTTTGCCCCGGTTAAGAACCTGGCCCCAAACTTACAGCTGTTCATGGCTCAAGAGCTCACATTTAAAAACAGTGATTGCAACCAAATAACCCAGAAGTAACTTGAGCCGCTTTCAGCATGTGAAGGAGAGCCTTAAGGTTTTTATCATTCTAAATTAGACCTTGCGTGTAAAAGAAGTCCTTGAACTTTGATGCGTTTGTTAGACCTCCCATGTGTCCTTAAAATGATAATGAAAATAATTTAAATTTTGATGGAAAGGTGGTAGGGCTTTTGCTGGAGGAAACATGATACTATGACTTTTAAAGACAGGAGTTTCACATTTTGAAGTGCAAGAGAAAGAAATGCAAGGGAAGACAGGCAGGTACTTCTCCGCACTGTAATAGCGATGAAACATTAATTCATCCCCCTGGAATTTCTTGTTTGTGAGCTCCCATAATTTCATTTCTTTGGTGTCTGTATGAAGCTTGAGCTAGTTTAATGCCAGAAGCCAAATACTCTTCGACTAATATCTTTTTATTAGATTTTGCGTGTGTGTGTGCATTTCTGTGTGCCTGTGCATGTGAGAGAGAGATCACTCTTTATATCCCTCTTTATGCTGTTATAGCCTTTGAAATATGCTCTTGAAGAATCTTTTCAGGGACATGTTCAGAAATACTGCCTCCAGTGCAGTGAGGTTTAAGACTTCAATGGGATTTACACACGTGTCTGAGAGCTTTGTCGGAAGGGAGGCCAGTTTAAGTGCAGAGCTGAAATTTGGTGATTTTGCCGGAAGACCCCACGTCAGCCTGTCTCTGTGTCCTACCTCGTAGCTCATGACTTCTCCTTTCACAGTGACAGCAGGGAGGGAGGAGCAAAAAATCCCAGAAGGAAAGCATTTTCCCCAAAATGTGTCCTCGAGCGTGTGAGCTGGTGGAGTCGGGAGCACATCACGGGCACGGGGATGCTTGCAGAAGAGAGGTCTGCCGGCCGTGCCCTCCCAGGCGTTAAAGTCAGCCTGGGTTCGATCGAAGCAAGCTTTTCTTTGTGCACATTGCAGGGGTGAGGATGCCGAAGAAATCCTCCGAGCCCCCAGGATGTGCATGCGTGTGTGCTTGTGTGCACGCATGCAGGGGAGAGAGAAAGGAGGTGGCAGGACTCCTCATTGCACCTCCCGCCTTGCGCCATTTGGGCACAGGTACGTGTTTACTTACACAGAAAAAAGACTTTACCTGTGGCCAAAGCAGAGTACAAAGCTGCACAGCTCAGCCGGGGACTTCCCAGGCCCTCTGAGCTGCTCTGCGGTTGGGCAGGGGTGCAACAGCGAAGGCTCACTGCCACCTCTAGGCAAGTGCTAGCATAGACACTTGCTCTAAACTAGAGCAGAGACAGACAATCCTGGGATTTGTCCCAAATCACTGCAGTCTCTGTGCCAGACCCCCCTATCAGCTGGTGTGTGTGTGTGTATGCAGTTACATAGGCTCCTTAAGCTTTAGTATAAATATGTTTAGCCGTTTCTTTATTCCCGTGGCAGTAATCCCTCGAACACATTTCGAGTTGAATAGAAATAGCAGCTGAATAACTCCAGCGCCACGGCTGCCGGGGATATTGTGTGTATGATCTGTGCCGAGGCCACGGTTTCCTAAGGATCTTAGAGAGCTAAGCATCGCGAGCGGCACGTTCCCCGCAGGCTGATTCGGAGCCGTGGCCCCCCCGCAGCAGAGCGGTCTGCAGCCCGCCCAGACGCCCACCCGCAGGAAGACCCTCCGCCGGCTCCTTCCCCAGGAGCGGCGATCCACCTGGCCTCCCCAGTATAACCCACGGTCGCCGCTGGCTCCTGCAAGAGAGGTGGGTGAGAACGGTCGGTGGCAGGAAAGGGGAAGAGAGCCCGGAATCGAGGGGAAAGGAAACTTGAGAGAGCGTTAGCTGATGTGTTTGTGTTTGGCTTCTGTAACCACAGCGAGCATATGGCTAGCAGTGAGCGGTGCTTTAGCTTGTTTCGCAGGAGAGGGGGAATCAGGGAGGCAGCTGTGTCAGGGGCAGGGAAAAGGCTGTGTTTCCTCTCCCGAGCCATTTATTTTTGATGACTTGCTGCTTGCGTTTGCTCCTGGCTCTAAGAACTGGGGAAGCAACTTCCCCAGACAAGGGTGGCTCAGCAGGGCTGAGCACGAGGTGACTTCAGCAGAGCAGGGACCCAGCCCAGTTGCCTTCTCCGTGGCAGTCGGCTACCAGCCTCAGCTTTCCAGCTAGGGAGAGGCAGGATTACAGGAACGTGTGCGCTCCCTACAGAGAAATGCTGTTTACAGATGCTCCTTGCTGGAGGAAGAAAGGTGCAACATTTGCTGTCAAACCAAGAGCTGTGTGGGAACAGGCTCGTTGGATACAAATGGGCTGAAGAGGGTCTCTCTCCACCTTCTCCATTTGCTGTCCAACGTCTGTGTCATTAGTTGTTTACTAACCTCTGAGCCTCCCTCTCTGGGCTGACTCACAGCCACATGTGGGAAGCAAGGGCTTCCTAGGGCTCCTCCCTGGCTCAGGGTGGTTAACGGGATGTGTGCAGGCCAGCAGCTCCCTTTCTATACTGAAATTCTGCTGCCAGCTAGCCTGGATTTATGGCTTTTGCAAAGCTTTGGGTAGTATACACGTAAAAATCGGCATCGCTTCATTAAGTTTTATGCAGGTGAAGGCAGTGCTGTTGTACCATGGAAAGGACTTGGCCCGTGGATAAACACAGTTTATCTATCTGGCTCCCTCCTCCAGAATCGAAAGTGGAATCGAAGTCTAATGTTGAGTACACATGAATGAGCTTGCAGAGGGTGGGGAATAGGGCCGGCAGTCAGTGGAAGGGTGCTACTGGCCTTAGAGGGCATTGGAATTGGGTCCTGGGCGGTTAGGGACCAGAGAAGAAAGGAAGTCCTTCCCTGTGGATCAGAGCTTGCTTTCTCTTAAGCTTTGAACTAGTGGAGTGGGTCTCTCCACGTTTGCATCTCTAGGGTGTGTTTGTGGGGTGAGTAAGCAGGACTGTCAAAGCTTTGGCCTACGGTTCTGCTGACAGTCCAACTGCTGCGGACGTTGGAGCCCTGGTAGTCCCTGCGTTGCTTCCCCAGCACTATTTTGCCTTGGCCTCCACAAGAGGAGTGCTGGTAAGCAGAAAAGAAGCTAGGTGCTGGTGGTACAAACTCTGTATCGTGCGCTAGCTGAGGCTTTGGCAGTGCCTTGAACACCAAACATGTGCTTGCACCTATGAGCTTTGCTTAAGCCAGACCTCCAGCCACGAGACACTCAACCCATCCGTCTACACAGGTGTCTCAAGGGATACCAACCCAGCTTCTTCCCTACCCCTCACCCTGATCATCTCTACTACACACAGCCTGCAGGACTAAGGCCAGGCTCAGAAATGTGAGCCCTGAAAGGAGAAGCTCTCAGGCTTTTCTCAGTCTCAGCTGAAGCTAGCTGCTTTCCACCTGAGAAGAGGTCATGAAGCCCTTCTTTGCCTGTTACTCTGGTTATCCCTCCATGAAATGCTGTTTGGGGCAGGTTTCCCTGCCTGATGGATCAGAGCAGATGTCATTGGGTAGCTTACTATTAAATTAGTCCTTCTGCATCTAAATAGGCATAATTGTGTGCTCATTAGCCCCAGACAGTGTGTTACAGCTTGAAGTAAGGGTTGTGTGAGCAGGGGGGAGGGTGGGCGAAGCAGCCCCAGGCCCAAATTCTTTCTGGTGCTGAGTTTGCCTAAACTATCTTCTCCCTTTCCCACCTCTGCAAAACTCCCTGTGTGCTGGGAGAGGAACAAGGCTATTTGATTTCCTTTCGCCTGTGGGAAGTTTTGTAATTGAATTGCCTGCTGTGCTTCACTTTATTTGCATGCCTCCAGAGAGGCAATGGGGCAGCCAGGCCAGGTCTGCTGCCCCTGCCCACAGCGCCCGCCTCCCCAGAGCATGGCCAGAGAGCCGTGCAGCACTGTGTGCGTTCGCCAGGCTGAGGCTGGTTTCCTGCGCTCCAGCGGGAGCTGCCTCTGAGGGCTTGGGGAGAGGCTGTGATCAGGTGAGCCTCACAGTCCTGCCCGATAGCCCAGTTGGGTTTATATAATATTATATATCTATAATTGTGTGTTTGTTGTTGCCATGGGAATGAGCACACTTGCAAAGCCTGAAGACTGATGTCAAGCCTGTGTCTACACTGGGCCTTATCAGGTGCAAGTAAAGACTAGGAAGGGAAAACAGGGTGAGGAGAAGCCCCTTCCTTGCTCCCCTGTGTGTAGCCTGGCTCTAGCAGGAGAAACACAGCCAGCTGGGAGAGGGTCAGGGCTGCCCCAGCCCTTGGCTGCAGCCTGCTCAGCAGTCTCGCCTGGTTCAGCCGTGGCTTGGGGCTCAGGACAGGCAGTGGAGGGATTCTGGCTGAGCCGGTGCTCTGCCTTCCCAAGGGCAGAGGCAGTGCTGGAGGGAGAGGACTGCCTGCTGTCAGGGGAAGAGGGGGCTTGTCTGCAGCCCCAGGTCTCCCCAGACTAAAACCTAACTCCTTCCCAGGCCAGGAGCAGGTGGGAAGGTGAGGCTTTCCAGGGGCATGAAGCCAGCTCCTGACGGAGCATGGCTGGGTAGGGGCGCCGGGGCAGGCTCTGCTCCCCCGGGGCAGGCTGAGGCGGGCTGGCAGGATGCGGAGACGGTGCTTCCCGGCAACAGGTGGGCGCCGGGG